AGGGTCCCATAGAGCGTCACCAGCGCTGATATTTACACAGCTCTGCCACACAGCACCACCCTGTCTTGTAGGGCTGGAGACCCGATTTTTTTTCCCTCTGCACCATAGTAACACTTATAGGTCTTGTCCCTCCCCCAGCCTGTGAAGCCGCATACCGAGGAGCTCAGCTGTCACTGATCTCTCCTCCTGTCGGCACGTTCCCTGTTAGCACGTGAGCACTGCAGCACACTATAATAGCTCCTTGTGCTTCTCCTTCTCTCAGTCTGAACTCTGCTATACAAGGACTGCAAGAGGCTGATACTGGATGGGCCTGCGTCTTTATTCAACCCCGTGCCTGCGCGTCTACCCCAGCGTCCCGTACCTGAAACTAAATGACAGTCCGATACCCGAATTCATCATCGGCCATTGACTAAAGACGATCGTCTGATGAATATTCAAACCGCATATTAGCTGGTTATATCGTACAATGTAAAAGAGTCCAAGCATACGTATTCTTCAGCATGCCCAAAGCCAATGATCAGAGTCCGAGCATACGTATTCATCAGCATGCCCAAAGCCAATGAGCTTTTGGGGGTTCTGAAAGGACTTCATCAGGGTTTCCATAGACTACCACTGAGTAAACAAACGGTTAAATAAGACAGACAGGTCCTCTTTAATCCTGAGCCCTGTGTGGACAGGCAGCAGAAAGTGAGAGTTTAATATTAAATTACAGGGACCGGGACTTGTAATCAGATCCCCGTCTGGATGAGCAGCACCTGTGCCCGGTCCCACCCGCCAGCTGCGCTCCGGAGAATTACTGAACCAGCAAAGCCAAGCTGAAACCCGCCGGAGCATGGCACCAACAGCGTTTTCAGGTACGGTATCCTGGGCTTCCAGCGGGCACAGATTCTGAATTTGTGTCACCTTCGGACTCATTTAGGAGCCTTTACATTTTATTTTGTAAATATTTGTGTCATTGAACTAGATAGAGATTTGCAGACTGGCCACTAGAGGGAGCTCTCAATGACTCACTGCAATAACTAAGTGCACCAATCCTTTTTGCCCCTTTGCCATGACCTAACCTACGGGGGATTGGGGGGTAAATGGGGGGAGAGACAGACCTCCACAGATGTATGCTCACCTAGATCCGACGGCCGTGGGCCGCCATGGTTAACATTCAGCGCAGCGAGTCTTTGTTGTCAGCACTTTACAGCCCCTCAGACTTCTATGGGACCATCTCCGGCCTCAGGGCACGGCTGCATAGAGTCTGAGGGGCTGTAATGCACAGGCACAGCCAGGACAGGGAAGACTGCCCACACATGGCTCAGGTTTAAAGAGGACCTGTCTATCTTATTTGCTGGTTCAGTCCAAGCCTGTCTATACGAGTCATGTGTATAGTGCCAGTGTATTCTTTTTACTGAGTACATGGAAACCTTGATGGAATCCTTTCAGAACACCCAAAAGTGCATTGGACTGTTTTCCTGTGGACATTCTGACTAAAACATGGATATGGACTCTCTACGTTGGTTTGCCACTTTCTGCCCCTTATACTGTATGATAGAACCAGTTAAAGGGTTATTCCACTTTCCCAGGTAAATGTGGGAAAATGGAATTACCCCACCAATCTGCCCCCTCTCCACCCCCCTGCATGCATCTGTGGAGGGGTGAGGGGGTTGGGTTAGGTCAGGGGAAAGGGGGTAAAGCAAAATGAGTGCACTTTGTTTAAAAGGAGGAGGAGCGCTGTGTGGGCGAGTATAAGGTGGTCAGTGGGCTTTAGAAGGGACCCCTTTGCCCTGAGCAGAAACACCAATGATGTAGGCAAAACACTCACCAGGAGAAGGGATGCGGTGACCCGGGTAGAGGTGGGTTGGCCAGGACCCCGGCAAAGATTTGCTGAATGATGCTGAAGAAAGAAATCAGAATTAGCGGGGAGCAGATAATAACTAGTGAGAAACATTTCAAGACGCCCAACACTGCCAACGGCCATCATGTTTAGTCCAAGTGTTGGGTGATGGTGGACCAGGAGTCTCGTGACCAGTCAGTCAAAGTGTTAGGTCATGGTGGGTAGGACAGTCCAGAAGTCTCCTGGCCCATCAAA